TCTGAGGTGGCAAGTTCAATCACAGGTACCAAAAAAAAAAAAAAAAAAAAACTTGAAATACCACCAGTCTGATTTCTACATTCCCTTTGATGTCCATTTTTTAAAGCAGCAAAATATTTTTACTAGTCTTTCAACTAGTACATTTTAATTAACTATAATTACGTTTTCTAATACAATAAAAGCAAGAATTAGCTAGCATAAACATGGCAAGTAAGTGAGCTTAAAAGATTTGTCCCATATGTTTGTCACTTTACAATTAGAATGTGCATTTACAAAGAATCAGAAGTTACCCAGTATGGAATGATAGCACCACGGTATCTATTTCTCAAAATAAAGTGCTAACGGAAACTGTAAAGCACAGTTTTCCGCTTCTCTCTTGCGGACTGCATGGCTCTGAACTGCGGCACAGAACCCAAAACCTCCCGCCATGTGGAAACGCACCCTGCTTCGGGAATCCCTGGGCACCTAACTGACAGAGTTTACTATGCGTTCTCCTATTTAGGGTACGATGTACAGCCGGACAAGGACGTTCAATATTTACCCTGAATACTTTTACACTTATTCCAAACTATGGTCAATTCTTTATTTTAAGTGTAAAAGATAATTAATGGATAATTAGTGAAAATCCCAAGAACCATGATTTTTGACTTGACAAACATTTAAAAAGAATTTACAACTACTAACATCGTTGTGTTACTTGGTACTTCATTTTGATGTGTTTAATGATAACTGTAAAATACTAAGCTCTATCAATAATCTATTTTAGAAATATAACACAGAACCTACCAGTGAACAGGTATCCACATCAGTTTAGACTCTTTTGAAAATGTTGAGATTACAAACCACTATTTTAGTTGATTTTATATAAGCCTGAGGCCTAATTTTTATTGAAAAATTTTTAAATATTTAATTTTTAACAAAATTTGAATTACATGATTAAGAGAGCTTTTACTCCATCACTAGAATAAAGGCTAAAATATTTCCTGACATAAGCTAGTAGAGAATGTCTTACTGTCAAGATCACTTAATGAATCAGTAAAAGTATTCCCTCGAGGTTACCACACTGAACTATTTATGCTGAATTTAAAATATATTCATACTAATACTGTCTTGCAATGATTAAAAATTTAGTGCAAAGGTTCCTCCTCGGGACTTACAGAAAAAGAACATGGAAATCACCAGAAAGAAATCACGTAGTCTTTGCTTTTGTTGGTTCAGAGCGTACATTCCCCAGTAGATGTCGCTATTACTCTAGGTTGGTGGGTTTGTTTAGTTATGGCTAGAAATTAAGAGACTTGTCTGAATTTATAATAAAAATCAACAGGCCAACATAGGAAGTGCAATCATACACACTTATGGTACTGTATAGAGCCAAAAGCAAATCTAGGTAATCAACAACTTTATACTGTTTATTAGTACATGTTTACAGTACATAACGATTACACCTATTGTGGGGAGGGTACGCGCACATCTCTTTTTTGTCCTCTTCCGCTCATCCCTCCCTCCAACTCTTGTTCCCTTTCCCATTCACAAAGCTTCTATTTCCATTTTCTCTTCAGTTCTTTTTTTAAATCCCTTTTCCCTTTCTTGTCTGTCTCCTCCATCTCTTGTTCACTTTCCCATTTGAAATAAATCTCCTGGGCTGGGGATTCAGCTCTGCAGCATAAGCACTTTACTTTCTATTGCTTTGTATTCTGCTCTTTATGTATTGGGTTTCTCCAACAAGAGAAACCATGTGATATTTAAATTTGTGTGTCCAATGTATTTCACTTAACATTGTGATCTCAGGGTATCCACTAACCTACAAATGCCTCAAGTTCATCCTTCTTTATAGTGCTTCTAAATGAGCGCTGTTATAGTTAAAATCTAGATGCACCCCAAAGCCTCATGAGTGCAAGGGTAAGGTTTTGAAAGGTGACTGGATTATGTGATGGCATAGCTTGCTGTTAGGAGGCACAGTCTGGTTGGAAAAGGCAGGTCACTCGAGAGCCCTGGAAGGGTGCGTCTCCCTTCTTGGCTGCTCCCCTCACTCCCTGCTTTTTAGCCGCCATGAGGTGAGCAGCTTCTCCTCCACCATGCTGTTTCCTCTTTGGAGCCACCCAAACATCCACTAAAACATGAGCCAAAACAAACACCTCCTCTTTTAAAATCTGGGGCCTGGTGACAAAGAAAGTGATTAAGGCAAACAGTATCATGCCAATTTTCCCAGTGTCTATGGAGATATCTAAATATATATGCATATATTTACATGTTTATGGTTTTTATATATACTAATATATTACTTATACAAACCAAGAAGTAAAATATTTGCTTCAAATAGAAACTTTCTAAAATATTCTTTTTGACAGATTTTATACCAGATTTATCCCTTTCCTTCTCTTAATAAGTAAAAATGAGCTTTACTTCAATCTAGATGAACATGCAACACAATGTCAAATTGACCCCTGAAACGCAAATATCTCCAGCACTAGCTAACCAGCAAAGCCAAGTTAGATATTGACTTACATGTTTTTCTCAAGTAATGTTATCTTCATACATTTCTTAAAACGCAGCAGCTAGCAGTGTACTTGACTGCATTTCCACAGTGTGCTTTCTCCCAATCTCATTCTGAAGCACATCACTTTAACCGCCATCCACGAAGTTCTTTGATTTTCACATTTTTTTTAATTTTAAAGACTAAAACCTAACAAAATAAAACAGAATAAAGCAAATCAAAACAAAACCATGAAACTGGTACAGAACCTCAAAACAGGGTAGTAGGAAATCAACAATGACTACCATAACACATCTTATCTTCACAATAGTTGTCCATATCATCAGACATAGTAAAATCAAATCAAACAGAACAGAATAAAGCCAATCAAGACAGACCATTGAATAAAACAAAATAATAAATCAGAAAAAGCAACAGTGAGAACAATATTGGAGTTCAAAAACAAGACAGAAGGAAATCCCACATATTTGATCCATTGCATACTGTCATCCTCCTAACAGATGCTCAGACTGCTGTCCCTAGGCCCGCAAAGTCAATCAAACAATAGAAGCATTCAGTTGTTTTTGTACATCAGTTACTGTCAACTCAGCCTGTCCTCTGAATCAGCTGGTTTCTTACAGTGGATGGAGGAGAGGGGTTGGTGTTCTTGATTCTCAGCCAGCATTCCAGTCCACTCATGGGAAGGGAAATCTGGCTTATGTCTCTTCCTGGGCCCTGCCTGGTTTGCACAGCTCCCAGGAAGGGTAAATTCACTTCTTGTTGTCCTCCTCCAAGCCGCAGCATGGCTTCTGCCAACTCATGGGAAGGGCAAACAGGCTTGTCTTTCTTCCAGGCTTATGCATGGTTTGCTGATTTTTACATTTTTTCAATTATTTATTCCAAATGAAGTCACATCTCTGTTATTTAAAAATCCAACATTATATAGAAGTCAGTTTTGGGTGAGTCTAATAAATTCAATTTAATCTATAACTTACCATAAGACTGTTTTGTTTTTTTACATTACCAGCAGCAAGCCCATGTGTCTCGTCACTGGGACAAAATGGGCAACATTTACAAAAGGTAAAGAGGGAGAGGTTTATTTCAGCTCACAATCTGTAGATATTTCAGTCCATGGTGGGCTGGCTCCAAGGCCGGGGCATGGCAGAGGAGAAACAGTCCCTAGAGGGCAGGCAGGAGACCATCAGCAGGAAGCCTTTCTCTCCCATTTTATTCCTTTCAGGCTACAAGCCTAGTAACCCAGGTGAGTCTTCCCACTATCCACACCCAGAATCACGCTAAACCAATCAGTGGATTAATCTATAATTATCACAGACCTATGATACATCCACCTCCCAAAAGCCCTACCTGGAATCTCTGGAAGGACATGAGGCTTTGGGGGACACCTATGAATAAGCCATAATGCCACATTTCAGAAAATTGCAATGTCAAGTAATACTATAAACTCAGAATTTTCAACTACATGTGAATAGAGAAAAACTATCAGAAATTTAAGGAAGATATCTTACAGGTGACACCCAAAGGGAAAGGGAAAAATTAAATTTAAAAAAAGTTTTACTTAACAGAAAAGTCCACTTTAAGCATTAAAATATTTATTCTTGATACTAATTTATTCCCTTTCTTAAAAAATTAAAATTGTTTATGTAGCCAACTTGGAGATACAGAACTTTATACAAATCATGTACAGCACAAAGACCTCTGGTCCAGGTAAACCCCTGGCACTACAGTTTGGGCATTCCTGCTTCAATGTGTCCAGTTTAATAAGTCTGTTTGATATAAAATAAACACTAGAATTATATTCAGCCTTGCTGCTAGCATTTAGAAATTGTTTTAAAGTATGTTAATAAAAATTTCATTTACTATGTGACTGAAAAATACCCTATGCTGGAGTGAACACAAGTTTTACCAATTTTAACAGTATGACAAACTCACAGCTTATTTTGGCTGGAACTTCCTATAAGAAAACAAAACACTTTAGTTCTGACATTATAATCCTAAGTTGCGGCTGCTTCCAAAGATCATTTGTCAAAATTATTTATCACAGTTAAAAAATTCCTTTTATACAATGGAATCAATGAACCATAGAATGCTAAATGTCCTTGGATATACAACCAAAAGGCTAGTCTTCCAACAGAATAGGGCTATTCATTTTGGAACCAATCAGAGAAACAGAAAGCACATCAGAAGTGTGTGTAGAAATTAATTAAAATTTATCTTGCCTTTTTCCCTAGTCTATAATAATCAAGGAGAATTGAGTTTACATAATCTTTCCAGATGAGACGCAACAGCACAAAAATACCCAAATTTCTTCAAAGGCAATGGGAAGTAAAACAATTTTACATCTAATGAAGACTGAAGGAACAAGTGTTATTTGCAATTTTTTCCTTGTTTGATAGATTTTAAGACTTAGAAGTATATAAATTTTAAGTGATAAACAAAAGTCACAGTCTTCACAAAGGGAACTATAATAAAAATAAACCACAGGAAACATTAAATTAGTAAAGCTTATTTTATTACTTGTTAATGTTAATGATCAAAAACTTCAGTAGAGCGGCTGCATTTAAAAGTGAAACTACATAATACATCACAATAAACAGATGACTCCGATCCCTTTCAAAGAAGTGCCTTTAAATGCATGAATATTGTACATTTTGATTATGCCATAAATATGCATTCATAGTTTTGGCTTCATTTTCTTCCTCAACCATCAGACACATTTTATGCTTCCATGTCTACAAACAAGCAGAGAGATTATTTTTCATGACAAGACTAACATAAACACAAACTATATCCACAAACACATTAAAATTTCTTTAAAATGCCTGTTTTTGCATTGCTAAGACATCACCGGGGCAGTAGGTCAAAGCTTAGAAGCTAACAGTGAAGTGTAAAAATCCACCATTTTCCTAACAGTCCTTAAATTATTCTAAAATTAGGACACTCGCAAAAATGTGTGCACTCTTAGCATTTGTAATACACACCTCCCTAGATTGTTAAGACCTTTTATTATGACATATTTTCCTAATGCAGTCAAGTTAAATTTTTACTTTAAGTAATTCAACTGTATCATTTATAAAAGTAAAACAAAAACCTTGCACATCAATAGCACAGTAGTGTTTCTTATAAAGAAAAAAAAAAGAAATTTAACAATCTGTACACCTGCATGTGTTCATCAACACTTGCTGAAGGTTTGGTCCTTGTTTGCTTTCCTCTCTGGCTTCTCCTTTGCTTCTAGTTCCATGTTTTCTCTTTCAATCAATGTAATTAAGGTACTAGATGGCTTTTGGACTTCCTGAGTTATAAACAAAAATGTTCATGATGAACTTGTGCTTTCCATCTACACGTTGCCTTGATTTCAATTGTTAAACACAGGTATGTTTTAGAAGATCACATACAAAGATAACTTTTTTCCATAGAAATCTGTTCATTTGCAAAATCAAGTAAGTCATCTTGTTCAGAACTTTCCTTCAGTTGTTAATGAATACTGATATCAAAATCAGTCTTAGCACAGGTAGTGATGTTAAAACTTATATAGTATTAAAAAGTGAGACCAATAAACTAGTTTTAAATTGTGGGCATGAATTTTTCTAAGGAAATTATTTAACGCTAACACTAGGAAATACTTTAACAAAAACCTATTTCAAAACTTTTTTTTAAACTCACCTTAAAGAATATACTTATTATGATGGGCTGACGGCATAGCTCAGCAGTAGAGTGCTTGCCTAGCACACATGAAGCCCTGAATTCAATTGCTAACACCACCAAAACAAGAAGAAAAAAAAAGATCAAGCCTTATTCCAAACTGGACTACATTACACGAAAATCCTAAGCACTCACGGTGTTCACGGTTCATCGTCCTCTCTTGTGTAGTTTTCCCCTTGTTTGCCCAACTGATATTCACAGCTGATGGACAGGTGACCTCGGCCATCCAATCTATAAAAATCAGATATTATAAAAAATATAAGTTCTGTACAACCTATTTTAAATTCAGTTTTACTATAATTATAATTAAATATAAAACTGTATTACAAGTCAGAATTTTCTATCCAGATAACCTCAACTGCATTCTATAACCTTTGTCCTATAAAATCTTTATAGTCTTCATTATTATTATAAAAGAAGTACAGACTCAAATGCTCTGATCATACTTCAGGAGGTAACCTTAACACCTGTGATGTAAGTCAGAAACACAGGTAAATTAAGCCGGGCATGGTGGCAGGACAGGCTGAAGCAAGACGATCCTTGCAAGTTCCAGATCAGCCTGGGTTACAAAGTGAGCTCAAAGCCAACCTGAACTGCTTGGCGAGACCTTGTCAAAAAAAAAAAAAAAAAAAAAAAAAGATGCAGGTAAATAATGTTGACATTTACAATTTCAGAATGTCTTCCTTTGAAGAAATTTTAAATTTTAATCACTTAACAGTTTGCCCAAGTGTCACTCAGGGAGTGCATTTGTTTACACAGTAACAAAGCCAAGCACCACTCAGGCAGGTGACATTTTAACCAGTGGATTCTCGTTTGCATGAGAAACACTCATACTTGACATTATGTTTCCTGTTATATTATCTCATAAAAATTAACATAAAATGCAAATTTTGGTTACCCTGTATTGGAAATGGTTAAACTTTCATTACCTGACCTTTAAAAAATTAACTTACCTCAAAGAAGATATCAGGAGACATCCTTTGCTCATGGATAGGAAAAACCAGCTTAGTAAAAATGGTCACACTTCCAAGATTATTATACAGATTTAACGCAATTCTGGTCAAAATACCATTAGAATATCTCACAAAACTTGAGAAAGCATTCCTAAAATTCATCTGGGACAGAAGAAGTTGGTGATTTAAAATATTCAAAGTATTTATAAAGGAAGAAAAGAAATCTAAACTTATCTCTAACAAATGGAAAGAAAAAAGTAAAAAATCATTTCATACTGTATGAATAAATTTCCAGATCTGAGCGCTATGTTCTTCACTGTGTTCTTTTCATGTCTTCGTCCCAAAAGGAGATTGTCAATTAATCAACATTTTAACTTATTTTGTTGGTATAATAACAGCCTGCCAATATAATTATTTCACCACTGTTACCACTCTTCACAAATCTTAAAAATCTGGGTCCTTGAACTTCCAACCATCTTACGCATGCAAAACAGCTTTTTCTTTACTTTATAAGAGGATATCCCTTGTACCTTTATACAAGCACTCCCCAAAAGAGAAAAACTATTTTTACAGCTTTCTTTGGCCCCTAACGTCTCCTCCTCAGGAAGATGCTTAAGCACCAAGCCAATACCACATCTGTAACTCACTAGTACTTTGAAGACCTTTTCCTGTTATTCTTCCTCTAGCTACATGCAACCCCACACCTGAATTCAAACTCTAATGCAAAAATTCGATGAAATACTAAACTTACTCTTTACTCCTTGCCTCATGTCAAACAAGCAGCTCTAAGTATTGGCACCCAGCTCCTGAATTCACTCTGCAGCTGTGTACTGCAAACTTAGGAACTCAAACTATATGAAGACGAAATCTGAAGTCTTTCCCTGGTCCTAAAAGAGTTCAAAATAACCATAAAACAAAGAAAACTGAAAGCAGTCTATCATTTTTAGTCCTCCCAACATACACAGGAAAATTTAAAACAAATGCTGTGTTTTTAATCATAGCTGATGGACAGCAAGATCTCAGTATGTATAAGGCTCAGAAGCATTTTGTTACATAATCCCCACAAGTCTGTTAATATTATTAATATTATCGCCCTGTAAGGCCCCATTAGTGCGATATTCCTAAAGTTACCTAGCATAACTAGCACTGAAACAGATGTCCCTCAGCTCAATACTGTTCCCTAGCAGAGTTCTAGATTGAAGCCGATAAATTTTGGATGAGGTGAAAACTAGATACCACGCAAAACACCGACCGCACACGCGGGCAGCCGCACCTGCGGGATCCGCGGCAGCGCGAGTGCAGCGCCCCCTGGGGCCGGCGCGGCGCTCGCTGTGGTCAGTGGCCGAGCCGCGTAGGACGGCGGCGAGCCAAGGACTTCTGTGTGGCCTCCGAGCGATCCGGGACTCCAGCAAGTGTCCTCCTCTTCCCGACCACGCTTTCCACGCGTGGAAGACCCGCTTTCCACTCGCAGCGAAGGCGGCAGCGGACAGGCTGCTCGCACCCGTGCTCAGAACCTGTCTGAAGCACAGATGCGCGCGAGCCCAGCCTGGCAGGGGAGGACAAGAGGCCCCGCCTCAGTCCTCCGCCAGCCCGCGCCTTCCTTCCGCGCTGTCGCTGCCCCATTCCTCCGGGATGGAGATCGCGACGCTGTCCTCGGCGCCTTCGCTGCACCGTTCCTCGGGGATGGTGATCACGCAGTACTCCGGGCGCCTCGGGCCAAAGAATGGCGCGGAGGAGGTCGAGGAAAACATCTCCTCTTCCTCCCCCGAGGAAGGGCTCTTGGCCACGGACGGCAGCGCCGAGGTGGTGTTTTCCTTTTCGTTGTGGCCCGCTGTGGCCTTTCGGCTGCGCTGGTCCTTGAAGATCCGTGCTTTAAAGAACACAAAGATTTCCACGTTAAGCCAGGCCCTCGCACGTGATAAGCGACCGTCCTAAATAGGAGCGCCCTCCTCCCTTCTTCTCTCCGCGGGATTTGAAGAGCCTGCACCGCGGTGCGCTCCAAACAGCTGTCTTTTCTTTTCCTAAGTAACTAATAAATACCCTCCGTGGGAGAATAAAATAACTTACTTACTGCATTTGGAAGAATTAAGTGGCAGGCTCTTACCCAAGTGTCCTAATTGCTCACAGATATGGTCTTTGAGATCGGACAAGTCGCACATCGCCAGGAACGCGCTGAAGCAGGAGACTTGCTCTTCCCCCTCCTGCACGTAGGGCTTGTAAGAGAAGGCGTAGTGGTGGGCTATGGCTGCTACGAACATCTCCACACAAATGAGAAACTCCTAGATGGCAGCAAAAGAAGCAGCCCTCTTTAGCTTTAATGTAGTGTTCTACATTGATACAAAGTACTTAAAACTTTTTTTTAAAAAGTACTTAAGTTTCGACAGCTGCTTCTTTTCTTTTTATAGTATATTCATTTTTCTTTTCCCCAAACTATTTTTTACTTCTTTATAAAAAGATAAAATCTGTTTCTATTTTGTACTACCTAAATCAAGTACTTTTAAGCAAACTGCACTGTATTTTCAATCACCCTCCCAGAGACTAAGGAAAAGAGCAGAAAGAGAAGTGGGCTAGGAAAACCAAAATCGGGGATTCGTTTCTGATTCTGTTTACATCAGTAGGTGTGGCCAGTTTCTGTAGGGCTCCTGTGTGGTCTCCTGTAGCCCCACGGCCTACACGCTGGCAGGGTTAGTAGAGACGACGAGTAAACATGCTTAAGGAATACTCGAGTTCTCCTGAGTTCAGCGACAGCACTGCTTACTTGCAGCCCGGTGGACACCTCTTCTGGTGAATGCCATTCCCACAAACGTGCTTTAGATATTACATTAAAGTTCACCAGCAGAGCGATAATAAGTCCTTGCCTATATGTTGGGAAAAGGTAAATGCAAAATCTTTACCAAGCATCAAATAAGCAGCTATTTTAAAAATATGTCATATAAAAAGTAGTTAAAATCCCAGTACAACCTAGAGATCAGCCCCACCCTACCTCCGCAGCCTGCTCCTAAGGAAACCATAGATGCCGCACTTGCTTTACAAATGCAGCTTTCAAATACAGTTTCATCAGAGGAACTTTGGTTATGATGTCTCAGAACTCTGTACTTGGTTTACAGAGCTTTGTTTTGAAAGTGTGCATTCCTAATTACATTTTAAATTGTTCTGATACACTGAGGGTGCCCAACATGTCTTCCAATAGGTATTTAAAATGGAGTAAGAACAGATACTCAAATATTTACACATGTATTAACTACTCGAATTTTCTTTAAAGAGTAATTTTGAACTATTGGAACTAAGACAAACTCAGAAGAGGTCGGACTGCAAGAGAGCAAGTCATATTGAGTATTTCAATAGGGATAATGCTTCAGGTTAATTTCTCTTTTTAAAAGCTTTTTGTGGTACTAGAGTTTGGACCCAGAGCCTCTGTGTCCTATTGCTCCTAAACTACAGTGTCAGGCATTTTTATTTTTTAAGGTAAGTTCTCACTAAATTGTTCAGGCTGTCCTCAAATTTGGGATCCTCTTGTTTCAGCCTTGGAAGAAGCTGGGATTATGTGTGCCACTTCATTGGCCCCATGTCAATTACAATAGCATAGAAGGAGATAGAGGAGCTTTCAGAAACCTATAAAAATAATCACTTCAGTGCTACTTTAAAGATAAGAAAACTCTGTCAGTAAAAGGTTGGTTAACAAGTTGTAGCTATACAACAGAATACTAAGGAAAAATAGAAACAATGAAATTAAATTTCTCTATATTGACGAACTATAATTACAATATACTGAGCATATATTATTCAGTTCTGTAAGTTTTTATAGTGTAAAATCATTTCTATGCAATTTTAAATAGGACACATGTATATCAAAATGTCAATCAGTCCTTCTGGTAGTAGGATTTCATGAATTTTTCCCTTTCTTCTTTTTTTGTATTGCTGCTATTCTGTTAAATTTGGTGTATTGTTTTATTTGTTTTGAGGAACTCTTCTAACCTGCCCTTTTTACTGAACCCAAATCACATATAATTTGTTTTCTATGCTGCAGAGTGTTTACTGATGAACACTTTCCATATCATTCCATAGACTACATTGTGTTTTCTTTCAAACTGCATAGTATTCCATTATAATATCAAGACCAGGATTTATTTTAATGATTCCTATATTGTTGAGAAAGTAGGTAATTTTAAATTATTTTCAATACACGGGACAGTGAATATCTGATTACTTCTTTATAAAGATCCTGGCAGGGGGGTTAACAGGTTGAAATCATTTTTAAGTAAAGACATTTTAATCCACCTTCTGTATTAATGGTACATTAAAACCAACATTTTATTATTCTTTAGAAAACTGAGAATATTCATGAGAAAGCAACACTTACCAAAAAGTGAAAATCAGAACCACTTTGACACATAAAAATTTTCCGAATGGGTGGAGCGTCTCCAGCTCTGTACTGAAAATCTTGTAAAATGAGTACAGGTAGTATATCGCCAACTGCGAGCAAAATTAATATTTAAACATCTGTATTAAGAATCACTAATGAAACATTCAGTTGCAAAACAGAGACTTGGTGCAAGTAATGTTTTGAACGAATTTTTCTAGACCTTATTACTCTATTTGTAGATTAATTAACAACAGGCTTTTAACATGGCTGTAGGTGAACATATACATCAGCCCCCAGAACAGATGTGAGACACTGTCCCTGATGATACATGCTCACTTACTTGGGCTCAGACAGAGAACAAGAAATAAATGATAGACGTAAATGGAGGAAAAGTCTTTTCGGCCAAAATAAAAAAAATAGATCTGTAATGGCTTTTAAATCCAAATTCCTGTTGGTTTTTTTTCAGGATTTAGCTTATTCCCTAATCTGTCTACATAGCATTGTATGTATTCTAAGGCGACACCTTTAATAAACTGAATTTCAACAAAATTGGGACCTTGAAGTCAGCAAATAAAGAATCGGGAAAACAATTCTTCTTCAGGGTGGTACTTTAGTCCAAGTGAATTTACTTTTTAAAATAAATACCTAGGATTTATTTTAGAATTCATTTATAAAAATGTAGTACAGCAGCTGAATAGCAAACTTTCCTAAAAGTTCACTTTTTCCACTAGAATAGTAAAATAATCTTTTAAAATATTTCACATTATGAAAGCAGTGAAGGAAGAATACAGTAATTCAGACCCTCAGCCTGTCATTCCTTTGTACACATACACTATTTTCTTTTTTATAGAGCTGCAGGTCAAGCCCAGGACCTGGCCTATGCTAAGCAAACTCTAACTGAGCTACATCTTCAAGTACAGGCTGGTTCTTTTAGCAGCTGTCATGCACTAAATATAAAATTGTGTGTATGAGGGTTATTCCTAAGAACTAATACTTTGGTTAACAGAGTGATCATAAATCTTTTCACAAGTGCTTATCACTGGGCTTTCAATTGTTTACAGGCTTTAGTATGACAAATAATAGGCTTTATAGTCAAAGCAAATACCAATCATTTCTTTACAATAATTCCAGCGTTTGGGAGGCTGCAGCAAGATCTCCATGAGCTTGAGGCCATCCTAGGCTACCCATTGTGTTCAAGGCAAGCCTGAATACATAGTAAGATCCTGTCCATTCAACCCCCTACCACTAAAGTTGCATTCCCAGATAAAGAATTATTGGTCAGAAAGAAAATGCGCATCTGGAAAAACTTTGGATTACTAGCCATTTAAAGCTTAACGCAATGCATCATATCTAAATTATTATTCTGCTGGGGGCTTTAACCTAAGCTTTTAAATCAAATGCATTAGAGCTCACAAGATCAATCATTATGTCTTCAGAATATTTCTAGGACTGTGTTCTAGAATTGTGACAGTTTTAATTTCATTTGGTTTCAACTATATTATGTTAAAGAATTTCATGATCTCATTTTAATTTAGACCTGGGCTCTTACAAACAAATTAGATAGATCCTCTTACTGAATATGCCTGGTATATGTGTTGTGTTTTCCTGTTGGTATTGTTTATGTAAGGAGTACTGTTTTTATTCATGATCTACCCACTGAGCTGTGCAATGAGAATCAAAGACAAACACAACCAACAGGTCAGAGTACAAATCACCAAATAATAAATAAATATGGTTCTGTATCTTTATAGTATAAAAGATATTTATATAAAGCTTTTTCAATTTGTTTGTACAAATTAAATTTCAAGATTGAAAAGAAAAGCTTTACTCCAAAAAACAGTGCTTAAAAGCATTCAGAATTCCAGAGATCAATTTATTATAATTTTATTATAATTACAAAAAGAACATTTACTTACCATTTGTGATACAGTGTTTATTAGAGTTAAGTAAATCCAGACATTTTTAAAACTAATTTGTCCTTCTTGAATTAAGGAAAATGGCTGACATACTCTACAAAACATAGTAAAATGGGATCACTTTATGATTAATGAAATCACATATTTTAAAATACAGTGACAACAATACTCAAACTCAGAAGTCATTTTATTTAAATGAGCCTATAATGATTTTATTTGGTCACAGAGATGATTCAAAAATAAAACAAAAGCATTTTTGTAGCAATGTTATATGACTATTTCGCCAGCTTGAAGAAAATATAAAAATAAGACCAATACCCTGGAGTAGAGTTAGAAAGTTAACTGGGTAGTTAATAGTTATTAACTTTAAAAAAATAAAACTACATTGCTTAGTTACGAAAAGGTTGATTGCTAAACATATTTATGTCTGTAATTATAGTTCGCTTTTCCCCTAAATTATCTCAGAGGTCAATACCAAGAGCCAGCCCCTTCAATAAATTTCACAGTTAGCATTAGCTGTGTGCTCCTCTGGTTTCTGAGCTGCAGAGAAATAAAGCACACCTTCATAAAGAAATCCATTTGTCTTAGCTGGCTAAATAATCCCTTGCTCAAAGCAGCTATATAAAGAACTGAACTTTCCTTTCACTTTTCTTTCCATCTTTCTTTTGTGAGCACGCAGACTGTAAGGACTAAAAGATAAAATATACAATCTATCTGCTTTAGATTACTTGACATTCTGGAATTTTTAGGAAATAGTTTCGTCAGGTGGCTTAACAATATCCTATGTTTACCTCAAATTCTAAAAATCTTGACAATGTTTAAAGAAAAATGCTACATTTTTGGACAGCACTCCCAATATATTCTAAATTAACTATGAAAAATCTTGTAGTCATCCAGAAAGCTATGTGAATGTTCACATTTGGAAAAACATCATTTTGAAAGTGCTTCATAGGGGCTGGAGGTTTAGCTCAGCGGCATAAGCACCTGCCTTGCAAGCAGGCAGTCGTGAGTTCGATCCCCGGTACCGATAAAAATGAAAAAAGACCAAAAAAAAAAGAAGAAAGTGCTTCATGATACACCCCCAGAGGATGTAAATCCTGTAGTGATTCTTTGTCTGTTAACACTTAGCTTAATAAAGTAAGGATTTTGTATATTATGATTTTTACAGCAGACTAGACTTAATTTATTACCAATACACACTATGCTTTACTCAGTTGTTCCCATTAAAGGGTAAAAGGATTTTCTTAAATGATGTAAAATCTGATATTTACAAAGCAATCACAGTGGTGACTGCTCTGACTCCCGCGTACTGGAAGACTCCTAGTTTGCATTGAAAGACAAAAATCCTGAAAAAGAAAAAGAACTTAGCATTACAACTACTTATTCTAAGAACATCAGAACATTCTCACAGCCTTTAAATGAAAGTCACCTTGAGAAATGACATCATATTTTTATATTTATGTGTTTATCCTCTATGGCAGTGGAAGGAGGATATGGATACCATTTTTTAAACTATCCTACAAGAATATCTTCTGAAAGACTTTCCTTTTTATATAGTCTCGAGTTTCAGAATAGTGTCACACACATCAAAATGGACCCAAGTCTGTCTTGCTACAGTTTGGATCTGAAATGTCTCACAAAGGCCCAGAGGTTAAAGGATTGGGTCCCAACTCATGGCATTTTTGGGAAGTGATTGGACCTTTAGAAGGTGTGGTCTAGAGGAAGGAACTCAGGTCATGATGTGGGAGTGGCCCTTAAAGTTTGCACTGGGACTCTGGTCTCTTCCTCTGTCTCCTGGCCACCATGAATTGAACTGGCCTATCTGCCACATCATGATGTATTGTGCTGTCACAAACCAAAACAACAGAGCCACTAACCATGGATTGAAACCTCTGGACCTCTAAGCTAAAGTAAACCTTTTCACTTATTAAACTGATTACCTCATGTATTTTGTCACAGTGACAAAAAGATGAATAACACAGTCTCTTTTTTTTCTGGAATAAAAATGTGAGTAATTAATTTGCTTGTGTGTGTGTGTGTGTGTGTGTGTGTGTGTGTGCATATTTAGAAAGTATTATTTATATTTCCAATTCCATTTCAAGTTTGGAGTTTAAGTATCTTGCATATTCTGAAAGGACAAAATAAACATATAAAACCAATTTTATTCTATTGTTGAGTTCACCAAATGTGGGGGAAATTTGCCCTCACTGTATTTGAAAGTGCTCATAGTACCTCCTGCAGAGAGCTCTTCTTGATCGCAAATCTACTGAATTTATCCGTACTACAGTCTCTCATTCTCTTCTGTTCTTTTCCTTGCATGACACTTCCTGAACTAGGTAGTCATTTATACCTTCATGAACTTCTAACCCTCCTAACAAAGTGAGTTCCTCCATGTGTTTGGTGCACTACACGGAGACCATATGCTGATGCATAATAAGTGATCAATATATTCTTGTTAAATGAACACATCAGGGGCTTGCTATTTTGAGAAAGTTGGGTAATTTTGTAAGTTTCTTCCCATCTGAAGCTATAAGAACAATATGAAGAGTGTCACACAAATCATTCTGCTCTGTAGATGTGAGGCCTTCATCACGTGTTTATAAACTGATGACCAGGCCTCCCATCGTTCCTAGCTTGTAACTTCCCCCTTTCTTGTCTGTCAGTGATCAAGTCCTACTCGCTCTTCACTTGCATTTTCTCATTGTCTTTCTTTTTCTATTCCAGTTTCATTCTTTTGTTCAGCTTACTTCACAAGCTGTTGTAACTTCCTAACTTATTTCCCCACATCCTGAGTCATCTTCGCTCCAATGTATCTTTTACAATGATGCAAAATTAATCTTTCTAGAGCACTGTTTTCAAGTATTTCCTTGCTGAAACATATCCAATGCTTTCTTTGTGTAATAAGTGCAATTGTAACCTCAATTTGCATTTCAAAATAAAAGAACTAAATAGCATAAGCTTTATTTTCTTTACTACCTACATGAACATGTAATAGGGCAAACTATATTACTAGAATAAACACTGGTATTTGATGCTGTTGCTTCATATCACCTGCTGTTTTTCCACATAGATTATCTTCTCCCCAAGTCTTTTATCTACTTGTGATCTTGTGTAAGATCTGCAGGTCCTGACAGCCAGTTGTAAAAAATGCTGACTAAAGTATTTCTAAGGTTTTCTCCTGCAATGCATTGTTGAGCTTTTATATTTGGATGAACAATTTTAAAAATTTGACGTACAGATTATAAAAACGCGTGAGTTACATCGGCCAGTGTAGGGCCTCAGCCTTATTCCTCTTGCCCTGCTCAACGTACTTAATACACTACCTTGCAGGAGACTAAGTGAGACTTAAGAATTGCTTAAATAAAACTAAACAGAAAATAAAACCAAACATACTTACTCCCCCATTGGCCAAGGTGGGAAGCAACAAAAAGGTGGGAATGGTCTTTGTGGCTCTTTGACTTCGAGAACGGCTATTAGATCTTGGTATTGATGAGTTAAATAGTTGGTCAAGAAAATCATAAAGTTAATGATGACATAGCACTCATAGCACTCCCTAAACGTGTTCATATATATGGCGCTTTTGGGATTTATCAATCCCAGCCACTATGAAAAAGCACAGGAGTTAAAAACATTGTTGCACTTTAGATAAAATTAATACTCCAACTCATGATACTCAAAATAAACTAATTTAAAATTTGATCTGTCCTGTCACATACTTATATTAAACACTTGGTAACAATGTATCATTATAATGGCTACCTGGTAATCTGTGAAGTGAATTCTGTGTGTGTGTGTGTGTGTGTGTGTGTGTGTGTGTGTGTGTATGTGCATTTGCACACACGAGTGTGGGGTGCTGGAATCAACTTGCAGGACTCTGCCCACGCTGAGCACATGCTCTATCACTAAGCTACATCTCCAGGCCTTTGAAATTAATTTTAAAAAGCAATAAACATCATACACATAGATACATAAATGATAACAATTTGGAATAAATAAATGAACATGAGAGAAGCTAAATTGAGTTTTCAAATTTAACCAGTATTTTCTTGATAAGAACATAGAAAATGCTTCTACAGCCATTTTCTTCATATCTAATCAAGTTAGAGCCACAGTTATATACCCTTCTGGCAAGTTTTACCGAATTTATTTGATTCAAATGAAAGATTTAATAAATAAAAAGAATTATAATGTACAGTCAGCTATCCTTTTGTGTGACATTTGTGGATTCAAACAAAACTAGCTCACAAATATTTGAAACAAAGAAACGAAAAACTCATCTGTACTAAAAATGGATCAGTCCTTGGGTCATTATTCCCTCATCAATAAAGTGTAACAACTATTTACATAGCATTTACACTGTATCAAGTATTAGAGGCCATCTAGAGAGGACTTAATACACAGAGATAGAGACACAGGACTTAATACACAGAATGCATACGGGAAGGCGGGTGTAGATTACTACCGCTCTTAGGTGGAAATGCTGAGCAAGCAGATTTGGTATCTCAGGATTTTTTTGAACCAACCCTCTGTGGGTACCACAGTACTACCGTGATTTAAAATATTATAACCTTTAAAGGACTAAGAGCTACTGCACTGAAAACTTTTAAAATTAAGGCAACAGTTAAAGATTTCAGAAAACTTAAAATATAGTTTTCATTTTCTTTTATCGTACTTTATCTCCTTATCAACATTAAAAACAAGTGAACTTTTTTGTTTTTCTTTCTGAACTCCTTGTTGTAGATATACTTTCATTATTTTAAGTGTTTTATGATAAGGATAGTTACTATCATCAAACTTTGTTAATGAAATTTAAAAAAAAAAAACATACTTACACTATCCAAGCTATAAATCGGCACCATCCAAAGTATTCTATTTGGGAAGCAAAGAATAAATTTAAATCATTTTATGTTATATTTATGACAGAAGCCAATGCAACATTAGTAAAATCAAAATAGAAGATTGACCTGATAATTGGCTTTTGCAACCCAGGCTGTGTGAAGTGGACCAGATGTTGTAAGATGTCCCACAGAGAAAGAGGGATGGTCATCAATAAAAAGATCCCAGCCAGCAACCAAGCTTTGGAATGAATATCCACCTTGAGAAACAGAAGAATGTGTTAGTAGTGATTGTGATATTGTAACTACAGAGTCCAATAAAATTGTTCACTTCTTAAATTTTCATTTGATTACAATGATGCTCATTATTTTTGGAGGGAGGAGGCGAATTCTTCCTCATGAAGTTGAGCATTTTTCCTCATGGAGCTTCCTACAACAGCTTTCTACACATTGACAATATTAATGTCATGGCACATACACCCTCTTTCTACTTATTATTTGCCTTTTTAATTTGATTATTGTGTTTGGGGGTGTAAAAAAAATTGAGATAGGGCCTCATTACAGCTCTAAGTTGACAAGGCTGGGCTCAAATCTGTGATGCTCCTGCCTCAATTTCCCAGAGTTCTGGGGCTACGGGCTTTCCACCACCAGGCCTGACTTTTACAGTTAACCAGTGTAGTAAACCCTCACATGAAGACAGCAATGAACAGTGAGGCTACCAGCCTGCCACGTTCTTTACATCAGTTCTCTTTGATCTCTCTCAGCTGCGGTAGTGATGCTACATTATTATCCAGATAAATTAGAATACACACTACTTCTCGCATGCAAGATATTGATTTAGGATATTGTCATTTTTAAGATCTCTAATGTCTTTTCTAAATAAATACCTGATCTATATTTTATTTTTAAAAGCTCAATTTCTAAAAATATACCCTGAGTCATCTCATCTTAAAGCAGAGGTGCTTCAGAACCAGTGGGGATGAATAGAGACCCCTCCTCCTGGGGGAGAGGCAGCAGCACTGCTGGAGTGAGGGGGCCAGGGTGAAAACCCTACAGGGCACTGCACGGTCAACCACACACACTCAGGCAAGTCACACACAGAGGGGAATGTTTAACTGAGCAGGCAGTCATCTCGCACCCCAGTAAACCAGAATCTGGCCCACCATGAGCACGGGATGAACCCCATAACCCTCCTCTTTGCTGTCATCTCAGCTCCCTTGGACTCCTTCACATGTGAACTTTGATTCTAGTATTTAAAGGACATGTATTTTCACACAAATACCGCTAAAAATAAGTCAAAGTACACCTAGTGCTCAAGCAGACTGGGTCCTCCTTGAAACTCCCGGTATTCACTTTCTAACCCATTCTAGCCCCAAAATCCATCAACCACAATTGCCTTACTAACTGTAAAACAAAACATTTAGTTGTCTTCTTTGTAAATTCCTGTTTTTCTCTTTGACTTCTAAATATTGGGGCTAGGCCCTCTGCCATTTCTTCTTTTTCTCCTTTATAATCCTCCTTCATCCTCCCAGGCTGCTGGGGTTACAGATTTGTGCCATCACCAGTACACTTAGCCAGGTGTCACATTTTTACACCTGTCACCACATAGCACACAAAACCTGATTAGTCCTAGGGACTTTATTACTTTTTAATTCCATTACCAGTCCTTTGAACAGAAAGAAAGAGATATGATGTCTTTTCTCACAAAGAAAAATAAAACAAAGAAGGGAAGATGAAGATTTGAAAAGGGAAAGCTTACAATATTAAATGGAGTGGCCAGGAGACATTTTGGTAAACGCCCGAAATTAATATTATTTGCAGGAAAGGCGTCCCATGAAGGAAAGTACAAAGGCTCTAGGCATGAAGCAGGCCCAGTACGCATGAATAAGCCAGGGCAGCAGGAGCCAGGACTTGAAAAAAGATAACCTAAGGCAAGGTGGTACCAGGCCACACTGGGCCTTCGTGGCTACAGTTAAGAATACTGGATTTCACTGTGCAACTAGGAGAGACGAGGGGGGGGGTGCACGTAATGTGATTTATGAGAGACAAACAGGACACACACACCTAGGTGTTAGCTCACTACTCTGGATGGCCTGGAGAGCACAGTTCAGGTAGGACAGCTGAAACCTTGATTCAGAGTATTGGCAGGGGACGCTGCAGTTTAGAAGACTTTTCTTAAAAGCCAGTGTCATTTAAAAACTACAGCCGAAACTCACAACTATGAGAAATCCACACAATTCCTTAACCTCAAAAATAGTTCCTACATTGTCATATAAGGAAATATTTCAAAGTAATGTCTTATTTGCCTTAAGATGTTTATATGTGAATTTTAGTAGATAAAGTCATAGAACCTATGTCCTGGGAAGATAACCTTGTTTGTTAAAAGAAGTATTTAATGCAGCAGAGCATATTATATCACCTTTAAAAATAGCTCTATGAATTATGCCAGTATGAGAAAGTAAAGCAATAATTTAAAAAATACACAGAACATAAATACATATTCCATTGTTTATTTAAAATTATTTCTACAATAAAAAAGGATCTAAAATAACTACAGGCCTGTCATAAAGCTTGTAAAATACTTCTTCTCAGTGGTTTTTATTAGGTCAGAATTTAAATTTTATGTATATGTATATATATATATATATATATATATATATATATATATACTAAACATATATATGAACTGGCTATATATATAAATGTATACTTAATTATTATCTTGGGATTTTCCAGTTTCTATTACTTTACTGATGTCACAATATGAAATAACATCAAAAGTATACAAGACATTGCAAAGCCTTTGCTTTGACTAAGAGCTACTTAGAAAAGAGAAAGCTACAAAGTCAAATCAACTAAAATCCTCTAATTTGGGAAATTAGCTAAAAGTTAACAAAATTCAGTAAGTCGGTTTCCAGATAGTTTGTCTGATTCAGTTAACTCCAAGATCTAAACAGTGGATAAGACTTCAAAATAAAATTACCTAACTTCGGGGAACTGGTGAATATTTGCAAAACAAAGTACTTCTGGAGAGCTACATTAAAATACTGGAACTATTTTGCTCACCTGGTTCCCCCACACACACACCTGTAGCATCATTCAAAGAACCACAAGCAAGAAGTCAGGCAGGTTTATGTCCAAAGACTGGGCTCATTTACAGGAGGGCATTCTCAGATACCAAGACTGGGTGTCTAGAGGAGGAATGCAGCAGGTCAGATAGAAAGGCAGAGACAGACTGAAAGTGCAGGACCCCCATACCTCCAGTTTCTCCAGCTTCCACACACACAGCGGCACCGCCACGATGATGGATAGCAGGTAGATGCTGATTGCCACTGGGCGGATCCACTGCCTCCAGTTCTTCTCAGAACACAGGCAAGGCATGTCTGCCTTCCTGGAAGCAAGCAAAAGGAGACTGAAGAAGATTGAGATGGGAAGCCCCAGTTCTGGTTTCGTCACTCTACAGGGAAAGAGCTAATGGGTGAGTTTACCAGCCAAAGCTGAAGGAATTTCAAGAAGAGAAAACAAATCCGACAAACTGGCATAGCAGTCCTTTTGGAGCCAAAGATTTTGAAAGCACAGCCCCAAGTGGGGAGGGACAAGCCTAAAATACAGCTACTTCTTATGTCACAAAGCCAACTGCACCACACCCTTAGGTAAGGCTTTGAAGTCAGAACTGGGCTCAGCCCCACCCTTGAGACCTTGGACTTCAACTCTCAGCCTCAATGGCCTAACATCCATTTAATCAATGAGAATTACACTAGATAGCATATTTATCGTTCAGTCATCTAGGGTGTCCCCCAAATCCTAATACTCAGCTCAATTTAGAAAAATACTTAGTGCATGTTTGCAATATGTAATTATGACATTGATCTGGAGAGTCATCAGCAAGGAGACGAGGAGGTACAGCCCCCTTGTGAAAACCTTGTAATCCTTTTCTTCTCGCCTCCTCCCTCCAACTCTTGTTCCCCTTACTTTTGAAAAAGATCTCTCTACTTCCTATCATCTGTCTTTTACTTTGCTCTATGTTTATACCTTAAATTTCTCATATGAGAAAGCATGTGATAATTAAATGTGTGTATCTGATTTGTTTCACTTGACATTACAGTCTCAAGGTACATCCATTTACCTATGAATGCCCCAAGTTATCCTTTATGGCACAGTAGTACTTCATTGTGTATAAATACCACGTTTCTTTATGCATTCATCTGTTGATGGGCATACAGGCTGTTTCCAAAAATTAGCTATTGTAAATTGTGCTACTACAAACCATGGGTTTGCAAGTATCGCTGTTACATAATTTCAATTCTTTCAAGATGATACCTAGACGGGGAATAGCTAGGTCAAACAGAATTTCTCTTTTTAGAAACTATTTTTCTAGCTTTGGTTTTTGAGGAATCTGCAAGCTGAGCCCCGTAGTGGTTCTCCTACTTGTGCGGACCCCCAACGTAGATGAGTTTCTTTCTCCCCATAGCCTCACCATTCAGCATTTGTTATTTTTTGGATTCTGATGACAGCCATTCCATCTGCAGGGAAACAGAATCTCAGGGTTGCTTTAATTTGCATTTCTCAAACAGCCAGCAATGATGAGCACCTTTTTATTTATTTATTGGCCACTGTACTTCTTCTTCTGAGTAGTTTCTATTAACTTCAGTTGCCTATTTTTGATGGGGTCTTTTAGTTGGGGGGTCTGGTTTTTTTTGTTGTTGTTGTTGTTATTCTTTATATATTCTGAATGTAGGTCTTATGTATGAAGAATTGCTGGCAAAGTTTCGGTGAGTGCCTCCGTTATCTGCTGGCTTATGTTGGTTGTGAGGTCACTGAGTGCCCTTTAGTCTGTTTGCTCACCTCCTCTGCATCCTTTCCAGCACTTTGGGTTTGTGGCTCATGATCTTCTCCCGCTCCGTGCCTCCTGAACTGGGTTCATGGGAGTTGGAGATTTGGGGAAGCACTTTCTTGCCTAGCCTTTCCATGTTTCTTTTTTCTTTTTCTTTTTTTCTTTCTTTCTTTCTTTCTTCCCCCCTCCCCCCCCCCGTTTCATTTTGGGCTGAGACTTGGGAACTCCATTGTATAAAGACTCTGTTCCCAGTATACGGATCTCTGTTAGTCAAATTTCTAAGATGTAGTTTGAGCACGGCTAAATACAATGCTATGCCTCTGTCCCAAGACCTCCTACCTTGTTTAACTTGGGAGGGGACTGTGCAGTGTACCTGGCCAGACACTGAGTTCTCTGGGAGTGGACTCTAATTGCTAATGTCACATGGGTAACCTGACTGTTGACTTACAGAGACTTGATGCATGATTAGCAACAAATCAGCTACAATGATACTGTCTACATTCCACAAGACCCAATTATACACATTAAAAATCATTTAAAATATACATAAAATAACACTTAAACGATAGAGAAATCACTTATTCCACGGATTAACCAGAAGCCAGTGAGAAGACAAAGGAGATACTTCAGCAAAGAAAAGTCTTCTTTCAATTTTGAATGATTTATTCTGATCGGTGAAATCATTTGGAATGGAAAAGAGCATAGCAGTTTTCTCCTTTAATGTGAAAAAGATGAAAAATAAAGAGGTGATTAATTTACAGTGTATGTGAGATAAAACATGATTCTGTCATCCAAAAGCACATTTCACAGGATGGCTAGTTAGCACTCTGGCTTCATGTTCTTATTCAATCTTTGAAAAGACGTAATATTCAATGTAATAATGCTAACAATAATATCATCAACATCACGTTATGGTATTGTGACAGTTAACTGTCACCTCGAGTAAGAAACGCCCAGCAGATTGGATTAGCACAGTTCCTGGTGTGGCCGAATGGGTTAACTTGAGGACAGAAACACACACCCACCCACACCCCACCCCACACCCCCACCCCCCCCACCCCACCCTCCCACCCCTCCGCAGCGTGTTGTGACTCCAGACAATCTGCTTCTAGCCTGAATGGAATGAAAGGGAAGCGGGAAGTCTTCAGCTTCCTCAGAGGAGCTGCCTTTACCATCACTGTGGTAGGTCCATCTGCAGGCTTCCAGGGCAGAGTCCTCAGCCTCGGACGGGATCTTTGGGCTCCCTGGCTCGCAGACAGACCTGCTGCATTCTTTAGGTGGCCTTAACGGGCTTACCTTGTGAACCATGTGTATAGTATTCTGTCTCACCATAGTGAGAGAGCCTTGACTGATCAGGTACCCGCGCAGGATCTTTCTCGGTGTATCCCAGTTACACCACGAGGAAGCAGCACCACTGTCCCCATTGTACAGAGGACAAAGAGCCCACTGCCTCAGAATTTCATGCTGGCTAATTTTTTAAGGATTGCAATTGCACATCAAAATCTTGGGGCAAAATGTAATAAAATGTTAGCAGTTATTGCAACAGTGCACATTACAACAATTTTCATTCTATGTAATACACTTTCCTTTATTTTCCATATTTACTACATCTTTAAAGAGGCTGTTCACATGAAAAATAGCATAGACAGTATCAGACATCTCCCACTGAGTTGCTAATATCTCGCTAATTTATCTATTAACATTTAGAAGCAACAAATTAAGTGCTCAAAACATAGAATTTTTGTAGACAAGAAAATGTGAAGTTAATTATATTTTTAAAAAATATCGCATTTCAATCACAACTACCTTAGGTACTTTTAAATGCATGGTCCTTGGTCTTTTATCTAAAAAAAAAAATCCTTTTTCTTTTTTTTTTTTTTTTTTCTTGAGCAGCAAAGTTTCCCCCAAATTTGTATAAGAGATTTAGAAAGGCTTTATTTCCACACAGTTGAATTTTTAAAAATAGCCCATTTCTATAATACTAACGATAGATGTTTTGAAGTATGTGATCCTTAAGTCTTCTATTTCCAAAAAAACCTCATCTTATTTCTTTTTATAAAGCAGCAAAATTGCTTCCCAAACTTGTACAGGAAGATTTTACTCTCAAATACTTGTAGGTGTTCTTCGTTACAGTGACTTTTAGACAATGTAATTAAATTTTTTCATTTGTCTTCTCAAAAAGAAATATATTCCTGTTAAAATAAGTAGATAGATATGCAAAAAATACTTTTTCAACAGAAATATCCTAAAAATTAATCTCCTTGACTAAAATTTTAAGGGAGTTACAATAGTTTGATTTGAAATTCTTAGATATTTGATTTGAAATTCTTAGACACAATTCTGCATAGACATTTTGGCATTTCTTATGTAGCAAACCAAAAGGAGGAGTGGCCACAAATTGAGTTTTTAAAATGGCCATATAGACTTGATACTTAAAAAGAGATAAATTGTATTTGAGATCACTGCTGCTCTTTCTTAGCAACTAATGTTTGCTCTAAGAAATTTAGGGAACATGAAATTCACAGGTAAAACTTAACTAGTGCGATCATGTCTCTTGGTTGTACAGCATTTGCCTTATAATGCCAGGACCCTGGATTCAATCCCCAGCACCACCAAAACAAAAATAAAACTAAAAACAACAGCACATCACATCATTGCTAGGGTTATTTCCAAAAGATGAAAAATATTAACAAAAGATGAGAAATATAAAATAAAAAGTGGCCTTCATTCTGAGAACACGGAGAGAGATGACCGGCACCCCCACCGCTGGCGTCCGGCGATCTCTCCAGCAGACACGTAGCGTGGGGGCCTGTAAATAGCCTCGGTTTGGGGTGGAAACTAAGGCGGGCATTAGGGATACACAGGTAGCCCATTGTTCCTAGGTTTGGCGCCATATGTAAATTTCCAGGGGTGGGAAGATGGCGTCACAGGTAACTTCCTAGGGGTGGGGGAGATAGGGGCTTCCTGCTTCCGGTTGAGGTTTTCCTGGCTACAGTGTCTTGTCTGGGCCAAAACCCTTTCATATCCCATCTTATGATTATTATTATGAAAAGGGGCGAAGATTTCTCTCTTTAACTACTTCCTGCTGGCAGAGGGCACTGTACTGGAGCCTAAGGGAGTCGACGGGATGAAGGTTGATGCCCAGGTAGACGCTGGTGCCAGGTGTTTTAGCCAGGACAGCTTCACTGGTGAATGCACATATGTCAGACTGGAAAAACAAAGAGACAAGATGTTATGAGGAGACATGGCACTGTCATATTTAAGGACCCAGGTGAGGTAGAGGGAAAGGTGCCTTTGATTTAGACATATCATTCTATCAGGACCATGTTGAGGTAGAAACATTTCCACGGTAAGGCAGAATTCTGAAAATTAAACGTGGGGTTAGGAGGAGTGGAGTTATGAGAGGTGCTTACTCCCCCATCTGAAAGCATAAAAGTTAAGAGGGTAGGTGTATAAAACTTGTCTCCGGTCCAGGAGTTGAACTGGAAAGAATAGGGGGAGCAGGGAAGGCGATGGCTGTACCCGTATAGTGAAGGTAAGGGCTTAGGCTTTCAGGGATGTCACATTT